ACAAACACTGTCCCCCATACACACACTGCCCCACAAACACTGTCCCCATACACACACTGCCCCACAAACACTGTCCCCATACACACACTGCACACCCACAAACACTGTCCCCATACACTCACTGCTCCACAAACACTGTACCCATACACACACTGCACCACAAACACTGTCCCCATACACACACTGTCCCACAAACACTGCCCCATACACACACTGCCCCATAAGCACTGCCCCCCATACACACACCCCACAAACACTGCCCCACAAACACTGCCCCCAATACACACACTGCCCCACAAACACTGTCCCCATACACACACTGCCCCACAAACACTGTCCCCATACACACACTGCCCCCCATACACACACACTGCCCCAACAAACACATACAGTGCCCCCATACATACACTGCCCCCTAACACACACACTACAACCCTGACATACACTGCCGCACTCACACACTTCACCCTTAACACACACCACTGCTCCTATACCCTATATCCCAGCAGACCCCAGGTAAGTTGTCAAACTGTTCTTAAACAGTATGACTACTTACTCTGGGGTGGAATCCTGGCACTACTGACACCATAACTACTACACTGAGCTGTAGTGGTTATTGTGCCTGGATTATTTAATTAAATAATCTACAAGTGCCCCTCCCGAGATCAGGCTCTGGATCCGCCACTGCTTGAGGGTCCAGGCTGTCAGTCAGCATGGCTGCCCCATGCACAGTGCTCTCCTTTCTGGTAGCAATAGGCTACTTTTTGTTTCTGTCTCTGATTACCCCGGCTGTGATCTCCTTATAGAGGTGGGTGTTGCACTTCTGTAACACCCACCTCCAGTCCACCTGTGCTCCTTCTCATTTGTTAACTGATTTCCTCTGCTTGGGGACACTTCCTTGAATATGCCAACACACTGGCTTAATTTCCAGTGTTTAGACATATGAACGAACTGATATCTTGTCACTCCATTCCTTTAGGGAGTTCCCATAGCAACCATAGTTACCTGCTCTACCTGCCTCTCAGTTCTGCTGCCTTGAGTGTCTGCCAAGGAATTTAGAGGCAGATGGGAGAAAAAAAATTACATTTTAAATAGGTTCTTCTTCAAATCTATACAGCTGCTAGCAAAACTGCAAACACGATGTATATTGACTTCCAAGCTCTTTTAATTGAACATAAGTAAAATAGCATGACAGTTTCACTTTAAGGAGTGCTACTTAACCAATCAGCATAAAGAGTGTTCAGGTGGGTTCAACTTAGCAATTATATTCAGGTATTACCTGACTAGCTTAAAGGGAAACTATAGTGCCAGAAAAAAGTAGTTTTCCAGGCACTATAGATCCATATAGGGCCCCCTCCTTCATCCCTCCCACCCCCCCACCCCCCAATGATGCAGAAGGGGCTGATGTCTATCAGTGCTGGTTCGGGCTCCACCTTTGCTCCTACCCACCGACGTCAGCAGACAGGGGAGACCTAATATGAATGTGTGGCAATGCCCGTGCTAGCATTAGTATTTCCCCAAAGAAAAGCATGTATAATGCTTTCCTATGGGGTTTTGTGTGACACTGAAAGTTGTCATGCAAAGCGTGAGGACATCCATCACCGAATAGGCGATGCCAAATGTCCGTCTAGTGGCTGTCTGGTAGACACTATTAAAAACTGCAATAATTACCTTTGCAGGGTTAAATGCCTGGGACTATGCTTCCACACCACTTCAATGAGTTGAAGTGATCTGGGTGCCTACATTGTCTCTTTAAGTTTTGGCTAACTTGAAACATGATGCTCCTTTAACTAACAGACAGGAACAACCTTTAAGTAGTTTTCAATAAATGACTTGCCGTCACAATTCTCTCTATAGATCTGATTTATTTATGGGTATACCTGAGTCAGTAGCAGGGGTCTCCTCAGTTCTACATCTCTGGAAAGTTTTTACTATACTGAGGTTCAAAGTTATATAGAACTCCCTTCCCTCAGCACATTCAGTGGCTGAATTTGTCATAAATAATAGAGATTACATTTCCATGTCTTTCATACAACAGATATCCACTTGTGTTTTGATGCCAAGTACATTCAAATTCCCATGATTCCTTTCAGACAGTGAAATTGTGTGACTATATATGAATAGCATGCTTTCACAAGTTTGTCGATACCAAGTTGCATTAATAAGCTTACATTATTAACCAATTGATGGCTTCGGGTTGGTATCACAAACTGAACTCTTATTAAAGGCAAACACTCAGTGCTGGCAAGCACACAAAATCGAACAAAACAGCAGCTCTTCATGAATTTCATTGTACAAGAGAAATCATTGGAAAAGTAATTGTATTTACATCATCAAAATTCTGATGCACAGTACCCAGCTTAGTTGTCAGAGAAAGACTGAGTTGATGCACTCATGCACATTGATGTTTACAACAACCAGCACAATATAAAACATGACAAATATTAAGTTGACAATTCATATGTAACATGTTCAGGACCCGGTTATGAAAAATGTCCTTGGTAACATCTCTTTGGTTTTGGAGGGGTTAATAGCTGCAATTCCAATCCCTGTAATAAACATTCGCACTAATAGGAATGTTTATAGATATGTTTCTTGCAGTGTAAGGGTTAAAAAATAGAATTTGCAACATTGCCTAAAGAATTAACAGGTTATAGTAACAGTAATTAATTTGACCAGAGATTAAATGCAGTTCTTGCATAATCTTTCTACTTTAATGTCAGTTTCTAAAATGATATGTTTTGATCTAGCAGCATAGGATTAGCAAAATTCTGTCATTTCTTCATAGCCCTGGGATGCCAAAGTGATTTTCAATAAGGTGTGTTTATGCCCTATAACTACCTGCATGTCTCAGAACAAATTACAATATGCTGAAATGTAAAATTGCAGTGGGCATTTTGATATACCAGGGAACTATTCACAACTTGGAATAAAGAAAACGATTGACAGGCCTAGAAACTAAAAGCATGCTATTACCAAAAGGTTAAAAGCACCGAAAGCTTCCTCCCCGACTTGTCTCGCCACTAGGAGACACCAACTTAATGAGTCAAGCACATTCACTTAATGGTGCAGACATTTATCCTCTGAGATCTTGATTGACACATCCATTTAGTTGAGACTCAGTAGTTAATGACGTTACATCCATTGCCTTCAAAACCAGATCTCACTCATTGTAGTAGATTAACATGTCCGCGTTTTAACAGCCTACTAAGTTGTTTTTTCTACTAAGTGTGATTCAAAATATTGCTGTAGAATTAGACTTGGTGAAAAAATATTGGATCCAGTCAATTTTAATTTACTGTGTGTTTTTTTTCTAAAAGCACTGCTTTTAATTAATCAAATTACATGGAGAGTATAACAGTAAGGTTGGATATGGCGATTATACGTCACAATTATACATTACAGTATAAACTTCTGTAGGTAAGAAGAATAATAAAACATATATTTGTACCATTGTATTGTCCTTTAAAAAAAGCCTATAACTCGTATGCGATCGTTTTTTTCAAAAGGACACTGTAGTCACCAGAACAACTACAGCTTATTGAATTTGTTCTAGTGAGTAGAATCATTACCTTCAGGCTTTTTGCTGTAAACACTGTCTTTTCAGAGAAAAGCTGTTAGAGATCTTTCCTGGGTCATGGCTGCCTAAAATGCATCCAAACATTCAGTGTCTCCTCCCTCTGCATGCAGACATTGAACTTTCCTCATAGAGATTCATTGATTCAATTCATCTCAATGAGGAGATGCTGATTGGCCAGGGCTGTGTTTGAATCATGCTGGCTCTGCCCCTGATCTGCCTCTTTGTCAGTCTCAGCCAATCTTATGGGGAAGCATTGTGATTGGATCAGGCTACCACTTCTGATGATGTCAGCACACTGCTTGTTTTTCTGAGTCTAACAGCATGCAGAGTTACAGCTTCAAGCTTAAATACAGTAAGATTTTTACTATATTTATGGAGGCATGAAGGGACCAGGGGGGCTAGATGGTGGTTTTAACCCTATAAGGTCAGGAATACATGTTTTTATTTACCTTTTTGTTTCTTTTCCTGCTACACCTTTAATTTGTATCTCCTTCAATTCATTTTAACACACCATCTTAGATGCAGAGTACACAGTTTTCAGATAATGACATGTTTTCAACTATATACATATGGGCAATTTCACGAGCATGAGCATACGCCTATTTAAAGTGAACTTATCTCTATGACTGGTAGATTACATGACTGTGTTAAATCTTTTCCTCAGTTTAATATATTTAAATAAACACTTTTTAACTAACCTTGACATACTTTTGTGTTTTTCTGTCATCATCATTATCACCCATCATCATCACCATCATCATCGTCATCATCATCATCATCATTATGTAGTTTAAACTAGTTATTTCCTTTCTCCTGCTCAGTGGAATTCTATAGGTTAATTAGTTAATTTTTTTAAATCTAGGAACTGGATTGGATGCACAGTATAAATTCACAATGGCCTTATATATTTTTTTTTTTCTGTCAATGCCTTTAAATTGTGATGAAAATGGAAATCGCAATTTTAGGTCTGATATTTACAGCTACATTTACTATAGCTTGGTCAGATGAAATTGATATTGAATAGAAGAACATTGTTTTAAACAGATTTATGAAAAGAAAAGGTCATGGGTCAAACTTGCTTTAATAAGGACACATGACATGTGTGACACGTCATGAATACCTTTTATTCCAAAAGTTTGGTCCTTAAGGGGTTAACTTAACAGACAAGATATAGCAGAAAAGCTTCTATGAGCCCAGTTGTATTAGATTAATATGTCTTCGATTATATCCAATGTGGAATGTTAACAGGTAAATTAGTTAGCACCACTGGGAAATTTTCACTCTGACTTTCCCCTGCAGAATTTTATTATAGAAAGTTAATATATCTGCAGAAGAGAAATGTCGTACATTTAAATGGTGGTTAAATTGTGTAATGAATCCTGGGAGATTATCACAACAATGTTCAGCAAAAAAAAAAGAAAAAGATAAACAACAACAGAAAAAAAGCTATAACCAGGTAACAGGATGAAGAAGATTACATATAACACTATCCTAATTTAGCAAACATTTTTTAATGTGAAACGTTATATGTTCTGTCAATAAAAGGACGATCCTACAAATTGACACTAACATTGCTGCTACAGTAAGTCTAGAGGAGTTTATTGACTAAGCAGTGAGCTTTGATGGATTCGATGTCATTGACTATTTTCCTTCCCAACAAGAATATTTTGGGACAAATTTTGCAACTCAACATAACTCATTGTTGGTGAATACATTTACAGATTGACATCATGAGAGGAAAATATATATATATACACACACACACACACACACACTGAGTGAAGAAGATATTTATAGTTTAACTCTGATGGCTGACCTTATAGATTTTACAGAATAGTTTTACATCGATACCTACAAAGTAATACGGCCTACTGGGCACTCGATTCTGCTATTTTGTGCCCCTCCTTCAATGTCACTGGGGCCGTACACGGCCAATCCCAGGCTTCTCATAGAGATGCCTGACAATGGACCATTTCACCATCTTAGAGCGCATGCATGTGCTCCAGGGGAACAAGATGAGGGATGGAGGTGGATTAAGGGATTAGAGAGGAGTTTTTAAAAAATAAACAAAAACAATGTGCACTGAGGGAGTTGGAAGGGTGCACAATGTGGGGGGATGAGGGAAACAATCTTACCCTTGCAGGTGCTCTGCCTGCAAATGGGAATATTTTCACATCTGTCTGCAGTGTGCAGTGCACGCTGATGACAGACATTAAACGTGCACAGAATTAACATTCTAGGCTGCCAAAGTCACATGTGATGGGGGTGCAACTAGACTCAAGCACACAATTACAAATATCTCTGGATGTGCAATGTTTCAAGCTGACTCCTACCACCATGACTACTTCAAATCAATGAAGTGGTCATGGTGGTTGGATTAACCTTTTAATTGTTCATCCTGACTGTGAGTTAATTTCTCATTCCCACAATGTATTATAAGCTTTATTCTGGATTTATAATCCATGTATTGTTGAAAACAGGGCAGGATTAACCTTAAAGGGACACTATAGTCACAAGAACAACTACAGCTTATTGTATTTGTTTTGGTGAGTATAATCATTCCATTCAGGCTTTTTGCAGTAAACACTGTCTTTTCAGAGAAAATGCAGTGTTTAATTGCAGTTGTTGGATGCCTCCACTGGCCACTTTTCATATGACTGCTAGAGATGCTTCCTGGGGCAGTGCTGCAGAGTGTGCAGCACTGCCATTCAGTGTCTCCACCCTATGCATGGAGACACTGAACTTTCCTCATAGAGATGCATTGATTCTATGAGGAGATGCTGTGTTTGGCATGTGCTGGCTCTGCCCCTCCTTGCCGTCTCAGTCAATCCTATGTGAAAGCATTGTGATAATCACTTCTGATGATGTCAGCCAAGCAGGCAGATCAAGGGTAAAGTCATCAGCTGCAGACTTGAACAAAAGTAAGATTTTACTATATTTAGGGGGAAGGTGGGGCTAAATGGTGAATTTTAACACTATATGGTCAGGAATACATGTTTATGTTCCTGACCATATAGTATTCCTTTAAGGATTAACCATAAGGTCACTT